CTTTCCCCGACCCCCCCCCACCCCCTGCTCCCCAGCCCTGCTGGCCCCGCAGCAGGTGACCCCTGGGATGGGAGCTTATCGCCGACGTGTCTGTCTGTCTGTCCGTCCCCAGCACATGATCAAGTACCGGTACATCCCGTTCACGCACGGCAAGAGGACGTACAAGGGGAAGGAGGACGCGGGCAAGACGTTTGCGAGTTAGACGGCGCCCGGCGCCCTCGAGCCCCCGGGGCCTGGGCCGTGTGGCCGCCTCTGTCTCCACGTAAAGTAGCTGGTGGCGAGGGAGTCGGATTTTCTTTGTAAAAAGGAGCTTCAATTATTTGTAACGGAAATAACAGGTTCTCGAGGAGACCGACACTGAGCCGGAATTGCATCGATTCATTACAGTGACACCAGGTGTTTAAATGCGGCGGAGCAGCTGCGTTCACGAGGTTGCACGAACGCTGGGTCCCGGCCGCTTCCCAGCCTCGCCTCGCGGAGGTGGTCCCACCGGCCTCATGACTGGAAGCTCTGTTCCTAGCCACGTGATTGCTTTTGGGGCCTGGAATTATAAATATATATTATATTTTAATTGTTTGAGATTATTTTGACCTATTTCTTTCATACGTGAAGAGTTGCTGAATGTGAATGTTCCCCTGCGGCAGCCCTCCCAGCAGCGAGCGGAGGCCCGGTTCTGTGGGTCCGGCCGGCTCCCTGCTAGGATCAGCTGGGACCTGCATGCCGACGTTCCGATGTGATGGAGACACTCGTGACCCTTTTACTCAGTGACTTTTTAATTCAAACTTTATTAAAGACGGTGTGCCCTTCTCATGGAGTCTTTCTGCCCAGGCGCAGGGTGGGGCGGGCGCGGGGCTGTGCACCGTCCTTTCTCACGGGGTGCAGACTTGCAGCTGAGGGGTTTCTGACATCAGGTGTTACCGCGTATCTGGGCTTGAGCTCCTCCTGCTTTTTAAAAGTCCCCCAAGGACGTGTTTATTCATTTGATTTTAGAGAGAGGAGGGGGCAGAAGTACATGGATGTCAGAGGGACAGCTGTGAGCTGCCTCCTGTATGTGCCCCCCCCCCCCATCGAACCCACAGCCCTTTGGTGCCCAGGACGGGGCTCTGACCAACGGAGCCGCCGGCCAGGGCTGCTCTCGCTGTGGAGGCCAGTTCAGACCTCTGCACCTGCTGCTGTCGGACTTCATGCCGGATGCTGCCCGAGCAGCCCTTCTCCTGCCCGGGCTCCTGCCTCCGCCTCACCCTTCACACCTTCGCCCTCGTAAGTGCTCAGGCCGGCGCAGCGGGAAGCTGCGCGCTTGGCTGGGTGTAAGTCGAGGATTTCGGGGCCGGTGGCGGCCTGCCCTGGGCCCGTCTGGAGGTCTGCTGCTCAGGCTGGTCCTGTCAGTGGCCCGTGACCTTCACTCCCGTGGAGAACAGCGTCTCTGTTGCTGGACAACTCAGTCTAGGGAGCGGCCTGCGCGGCCTCGGCCCAGGCCGTCTGCACTGCAGCAGGGGTGCCACGCAGACCAAGGGCCTGGCCGGGCGGGTGGCCCCAGCCTATGGCCTACTTCTGTGGAATTCGTTTCTTAAGGGACGTACGGCGAAGTTCTGTCTCTGGCACAAGTTAAACGGTTTTAAAACCTGGAAAATATGATACGTGGCAGGAAGTAGCTGGACATGGGTGATGGCTGTCC